TGACTATACCTTTTTACATCCCCATTTAAAAAAGTGTGGTACATGTAATTTTGGTTTTGAATGATAGATTCTTTTTTTTTAATCTCATATATTGATAAAACTCTTTGTCAGATATATCATTTAAGAAAACACAACAGGTGCTTTGCTTTTTCATTTTATTAAAAAATGAAACATTTTTAATTTTGATGATTTCTGTGTTCTCAATTATTACTACATTCAGGTGTTCTTTTTCTTGTTTAATAAACTATTTTTATGCTAGCTTGTTCCAGCAACTGTACTTTTGAACAATAATTTTAGATCTGTAATATATTTTGATTTTGTTTGTACACATAATAAAGGTTATGGGACACTTAATAATTTTCCCCATAAAAACATATAGTTCTTTTAATAACAATTGTTCAAAAGGCTGCCCTTTAATCATTTAATTATATGGTCTTTTTGATGAAAGCCAATTTGCCAATTGTGATTTTAGTCATGGATTTCTATTCGGTTCCCTTCATCTGTCTATATTAGATAGTATCACACTATCTTTTTTTGTTGCTATAACTGACAGCACTATATTAATTTCAGGTGTGCAACATCAGCCCATGGATGTGTATGTTGCTAAGTAATCACTTTATTGTCTAGTTTACGTTTCTTATGGTATTCAATTTTAATGATTTTTCTCATGATGAGAACTATTTTCTTAGCAACTTTTAAATATGCAACATATGTTGGTTATCAGTAATCACCCATTCTGCACATTAAACCCCTGGCACTTATGTATCTACACATTTATTTAAATATTGAATAGATGTTTGGAATTTTGATCACCTTCGCCCCTGTTACTGACCTCACATCCTTAATCATAAAGTTTCTGTAATCTGTTTGATTCTCTCATTTTTAAAAATCTTCCTCAGTTTGATATGTCATCACAAATGTCAACATTTCCTTTTATTTTTATGACTGAATAATACTTGTATGTTTGTTACTTTTTCTTAGTTCATCATCTGTAATTACTGCATCTGTTTCTGGGCTGTTATAAATAATGTTGCAGATGTCTGTTTCCTTCTAATAAATCTCCAAAAGTAGAATTGCAGTATCATACAATGAATATATACACACAAACGCACGCATGTGCGCATATACATATATATGTGCACACAAAAATATACATGTGTATACATACACATTTATACATGTTTATACATATACACACATAATATATACATGTGTATATTCATGCACAAAATAAATCTTTAATATATATAGAATATAGAATATGTGTAGATGAAATGGGGGGCCAGAGGTTTGGAGGAGGGGTGGGTGAGAGGATCCACCATAGACAGAGTGGGGAGCAGAGCAGGCAGATGTGCTGAAATACACACTGCAGAGGGGAGAACAGAACAACACAGGAAGGGTCTGCTGGGCCATGTGGGTCACCTGCCTGGCCAGGGATCAAACTCAGGCTGAAGCTACAGTGGGCTCTCACTGCAGTAGCACTGAGACTTAACCCCGAGCCACTATAGAAGCCCATATGATTATATTTTTAATTTTTGGGAAACTTGCATACTGTTTTCCATAGTGCAGTTTTATCCCCATCACCAGTGCATGATTCCATTTTTCCCACATCCACATCCTTGTTCATACTCATGAGTTTGTTTCTTTTTGAAAGCCTTTCTAATAATAATAATACAAATTGATAATAAATCTCATACATTTAAGGTGAATCCCTGAATCAAGTTTTGTGAAATTTCATAATACTAAAATCAACTTGCCAGTATGTATTAAGATTGGTAAGAACCATTTTGTCCTATTCCTTCCTGATTTTTCATGCAATGTGCTAATTTTGTAGATTTTTGAGAATGTCCATCAACTTCAATAAGTTGTTTTATATTCACAACACAGTAACTTTGGGATAAACCTTTTCTAGTTTTTTGTTAGTGGATTTAACTTAATATTTTATTGAGAAACTTTTGATGTATATTCATGAGACATGTCTTTACTTTTTTTTTTTAAAGATTTAATTTATTATTTATTTGTGCATACAGAACTGGGGTACAGGCCAGAGGCTCAGGGGCCGTGAAAGGTTTTCACCAGAGACAGAGTGGGGAGCAGAACAGGCAGATCTACGAAGTACACTGCTGAGGGAAACAGCGGGCGGGCCAGGAGAGGTCTGGCTCGCCATGTGGTCTCCTCCGGGGCAGGAGGCAGGCGGGAATCGAACTCATGCGGAAGTGGCTTCAGATTCTCAATGCTGTGCTTTAACCCGCTGCGCCATCAGGGAGGGCCGTCTTTACTTTTTTATTGGTGAAATGTTTTTGTGGTTTTAGGATCAGGTATTAATGGCCTCATGTTGGGAAGTGATCCTTCTACATTTTATAAGTCTGAGTAGGATAGATACTCTTTTTTTTTTTTGTTTAAATGATTGATAGAATTTAGAAATCAAGCCATTTTTATTTCTTTATGATAGGCTTTAAAATATAAGTTCAATTTCTTTTATAGCTACTAAGATATTTAAATGATTTTTATTAACTTGGTTCCAAAAACTTTGTTTTAGCTTCACTGAATTTTTTTGTTTGTTTTATCAATTTGTTGTATTTCAATATTTTATTCCATCTATAGAAACTTTCTTTAGATTTAACTTGTCTTTAACTGTTTTCTTAAAGTGGATACACTAATGTTTTTAAAAGAATAAAGTGTCCTAATTAGTATTCCTTTTCCTATTTGCACATTTTTATAACAATAATAATTGGCTTACATACACATTGTATGTGATTCAGTGGAATGGATTATATCTCTTCAAATGCATGTTTGTACCCATAAACATATCATTCATAATATATATTTTATGGTGTTTGGTCTTACACTCAGGTTTTGAATCAGATTTTGATATGGAGTTGAATAATGATCTCTTCATAGTAGGGAAGAGATTTTCCTTTCTTTTTCTTCACCCTCATTATTTGCATATAAAAATGGGAAAAAGGTTTTTGTGCATGGATTTTGTAGTCTGCCATTTTAGTGAACTTATTTATTGTTTCCAGTAGTTTTCTTTTAAGTTTTTTTTTTTTCTTTAGGACTTTTCCTGCATTATACCACCTGTATGGTAGTTTTAATTCTTTTTAATCTATCTAGATTCACTTTATTTCTTTATGTCTAATCGCTCTGGCTAAAACATCTAATACTAAGTTAATAGAAATGGCAAGATAGGGAATCCTTGTCTTTTTCCTGTTCCTAAAGGAAAATTTAAGTTTTTTTTTTTTTTAAGATTTATTTATTCATTCATACAGAACTGGGGTACAGGCCAGAGATGTGGAGGGTCAGAGGATGGATTCACCAGGGACAGAGTGGGGAGCAGAACAGGCAGATAGAGGTACACTGCTGAGGGGAGCAGTGGGAGGATCAGGAGAGGTCTGCCACGCCAATGGGTCACCTCCAGGGCAGGCGGGGTTCTACTCATGCAGAAGTGGCTTAAGCTTAGTGCTGTACTTGCTGCGCCACTAGGGAGGGCCGGTAAATTTCAGTTTTTACTATTGGGTTAGATATTAGCTGTGGGTTTGTAATGTGTAGATTTATTTACTTCTATCCCCGTGCTATTTATTTTTTTTTTTATCATGAGTGTCTATTGAGTCTTGACATGGTTTTTCTGCATCTGTAGGAAAGAGCATATGAGTTTTGTCCTTTTGTTGATATTGTGTATAACATTAGTTATTTGAGCCTACTAGTCTACCATTGCATCCCTTGGATCCAATTGGTCATTACATTCTTTTAATGTGTGTTAGATTTGTAATACTAGTATTTTGTTGAGGGCTTTTTGCATGTGCATTTATCAGAGATAGTGGTATGTAATTTTCTTTTTGTAATATTGAATCATTTTTGATTCATTCATCCACTTTACATCTGAATGGGTATTGGTAATTTCAATCCATTAACATTTAGAGTAATTAATGAAATATGTGTATGCATTTTCATTTTATTGTTTGATTTTTTGAGTGTTTTTGTAATTTCTCTTTGCTCTTTTTGTTTTCCTACTGTTCTCTTGTGCTTAGATATATTTCTGTTATGTTTATGTTCCCTTTCCATATTACTTGTCTATTCTATGAATTTTTGGGTTATCTGAAGTTTACTTTTATATACAAATAACCATATTGGGTAGAGTGTTTTCAGTTGGCATATTCTATCACAATATGTCTTGTCATGTAAATTGCATATCCAAATACACAGTTTAGATTAGAAATTATTTAATACTACCTAATAGTTTAATTATAGAGCTTTTAGTGTCTTAGTTAAAAACCATTAATAATGATACAATGTGCAATAAATTGTACTTAGATTTGATAAAATATGATGATGTATATCATACTATATTTCTTTCTTCTTCCACACAGCAGTTTTCTGTTGTGTTGAAATGTATCAGTTTAGAAAATTTGTCCATTGTAGGCATATCTTTCCATTTATTTGCTTATGTCTGTGTGGAATGGATCTTGTATTTGTTGACCTTGTTAAGTCTTTATATAAATTGATTCAAGTGTTTTTTTTTAGTGTGTGATATATTTGTATATGTATTTACACTTGAAGATTTATATTATTTGGTTTATAATTTACTACTATTTTGTTGTAATTACTTGCCTTATTTTAAATAGAAGTGATAATAAATATTCTTGTCTAATCCTCAATTTTAGGGAAAAATCCTCGATTTTGTTTCTCATGGTTATCTTTTAGCAGATTCATCAACTTTTTCTTAACAGTTTTTTAATTTTAGTAGCCTCTTCTGTAATTTTTGAGATAATTATGTAGTCTTTCTTTTGTATTGTATTAATTAAGTGAAGGAGTTTCATTCTCCCTTGTCCACCTCCAATTTTGCATTCCTGATAATTCATTAGCATATATATTTTTTGTAGCTGAAGTCAATTTGCTGCAGTATGTTCATAAAGGTTTTAAAAATTACATTGATAATAAAATAGTTTATTGGCTCTTTGACCTTTTAGAAAATGAGTGCTCTCTCCCTTTTTCTTTTTTAGCACAAGTCCACCTTACTGTTGTGTGGATCTATATTCACTTCGTACTGGGGAGATGGTCAAGTCCATTCAGTTTAAGACACCAATCTATGATCTCCATTGCAACAAGCGGTATGCTTTTTTTTTAATGTGTTATTTTTATAAGGTAATCAATTCCTAGGTATTTGTATAACTCTACTAATGTCATTGATTGTTTTTGACTCATTAAAACAGCCTCAGAAACATTTCTGAGTTTTGCGAGTGGAATAGCTCATTTTTTAATGAATGTTTTCAAACTTCCATTCTTGATCCATTAGTGAATTGTAAATTAAATTTAGTGACTCATAACCAGCATTTAGAAATTTAACTGGAAAAGAATAGAAACCATCTGAACAAACATATAAAGGTTAGCTATTGCCCTGAGGATTCCTTTTATATATGTAACATGACTTTTAAATATGTATATATGTGTATATGTGTTTATTGGTTTATGATGTGAAATTTAATTTTCCTGCTCACCAAAGCAAAGCATATTTCTGGACTACAAAAAAGACTTTTAAATATTGTTATACATTCAAGCTTCATAGCTGCACTACAGCAGGGAATAGGTTTTCTTTTTTTTTGAAATCTCTTTAAAATTGTTAGTAAAATAACTCAGCTGTGGGTTAAACTTCCACCTGACTTAGTGATAATGAAGAATTAACTTATATAATCACCGAACATTAGAGGAGAAATGGCCTATAAGGACCTTCTGTTACTCTGTCGTTTCCATTTATATTTGAGAGAAATGAAGACTTAAGATCAGGTCATAGATGCAAGTTATAAATCTTCCATTTCATCAAATGTAATGATATAGAACATAGAAAAAAACTTTTATCCTCTATCAATATAAAAATATTTATGATAAATGACTTACGTTAGATTTTAAAGGGGCATTTCATAATGTAACACAGCACTTATTTTAAAATTGAATGTGAAAGGAAGGGTAGAGCTATACCTGATAAATGTAACCTAAAGAAAATATGTTTTTTGATACTACTAATAAAAGTTTTTGAATTCAAAATTTGAAAAGGATAAAGAAAACCACTCTGTTAGTTTGCAGTTCATATTGAAGTCTAATTATTATGAATGTTTATGCTTAAATATCAAACTCAGTATGATAGGATATGAGGGAAACACTGTTATTGCTGAGATAATATAATTATCCCAGTATAGATCAAGTTTTCCAAAATCACCATTATTGAATAGGTAGATCCAGCAGATAATACAGGTTACCTGGAGAACTATGATAGCTCTTCTTCAAGTGTCCTTTCCGCTTTCATGACAAGACATTATTTAGCCAAACAGAAACTTGAATGCTTTTAAAAAACCGTGTGAGTACCAATAATATTTATAGATTACGAATAAATAGATATCCTAGAAAACAAAAAGTCCAATTACGGATGCTAGCTATATAGGGAAAAATTGCAGAGTTTTTCAGTCTGTATTTGTTGCAAGTACTGTATTTCTGGATGATGCATATGAAAATATAGTTAGAATTGACTTTTTGATATTTCAGTTAGGAAATATAGTCGTCTAAAATGTATTAAGGCTTGAAGAAAAACTATTGTGTAAGTTTCAGGATACTGCTTTGATTTTATCCTATAAAATGTCAAATATGATTGACAGGGATTTCTGGGGCTAATTATGCATATCAGATCTAATTGGCATACATAGTTTTTTGAAGTTTACATATTCATAATAAACTAAAACTTCTCCATGCACATCATTTTGCATGTTGCAAAATTTGGGGAATGAACTCTTTGACTATATGAAAACGTTTCCTTCTCTGATGTGTCTTTGCTGCATTTTTTTCCCTTTGAGTTTATTATCCCCTTACTATTCATTTTTTAAGCCTTTTCACCTCTTGATTTCTTATGTTAAATGCGTGACAGAATCCTTTATTGTGTGTTGACAGCAGTGTTAAAGATTTTATTTTGCATCAGCAAATGAACCTGGTAATAAACACACATGGTTCATACAACACTACTTTTTCCCAGTCCTTATTAACATCTGTTACTTGGATTTCTCTCTCCCAAATTTTGAAAAGCACCCTGTAGTTATGTTATTTAACTATAGCTATAGATTTCTATTTAATGTTTTTGAAAAAATCTATTTTACTGTTTTGCTGCAAAGAATAGTTCTCTAAAAATGTACATAAAATAACTTCCTGGGGGATCTATTTTGGGAATTTCCCTTAGAAACAAAATTGTAACTGTATTATTTTGTTGACCATTTATGAATCTTGGAATCTAGGAGAAATTGAGTTCATACAGATTGTGAATAAATTTTAATATATCATTTCAATCAGAAATGACTTCACTGTACAGAATAACAGTTATCTGTCTTCTTTTTTTGTTTTTGTGTTGGGATATTCAGCAATCATTTTATGTGACAAGTTACATATATACATTTTATCTTTAAGACCATCACTGAACATGGACTGGAAAAACATACTTTGTTAATATCCAGTAGTTTATTGTTCTCATACATTCTTAATTAAGATATATTTATTTGATTTATAATGAATGAAAATGAAATTTTATTTAGAGGAAAATAAATTTTTGAGGTCTATCAATTTTCTTCTAGTTATGTCTCCTGACTATATTAAGGATGTTACATGTATTTACATTTAAAGGCAAATATTTCTAGAATAAGCATTATAAGAAGTTTTTTATTTTAGAAATTGTATTTTAAAATATGTATTATTAATGATTAATTATATACTTACCTTTTCTTTTCTTTAATTTTAGGATCTTGGTCGTAGTCTTACAGGAGAAAATTGCTGCATTTGATAGCTGTACTTTTACAAAAAAATTTTTTGTTACAAGTATGTACCAACTTAATTTATATCATATCCTTTGTATTTGAGTTCATACTACTTCTAGAGTCTACAAACTAATTGTATTCATAACATTAATATTTCATGCTTATTTAATTATCATGCTAGTCCTGTGTTATTGTATATGTCATTTACTGCTATAATATTATGGTATGCATTTTCAGCTAAAAACCCATTTTTTCCCATTTTTGCTTATAGATCTGAGCAAACCTTATGCTGTATTGCTTCAGTTTTTACTTATTTTCTCCTTGTGACATTACAGTTTCTTGTCTATTCCTGCTTTGTTCTCTCTATCTCGGTCTCTCCACTTTTATCTCTTTATCTTATTGAGATGGCGTTGATTTATTACAGGCAAAAGATTAAACATTCCTGTAGGAATTTTCGACTATAGTTTAGTATAACAGTAGCAACTTTTACAACTCACTCTTAAAGCTATTGCTAAGTCATTATTGTCTGCTACTCTGAAAGGATACTGGTTATGAGGATGGGATGGGGATGCTGGTGGGCTCAGTGAGAATAGAATTTATGGTTGCCTACTGGTCTGTGTCCATACTTTCTCTGCATAGATTGACTTCTATTTCTTAAAGAACCAGCACCACATTTCCTTGGTTATGTATGCCTACAGATGCTACGGTAAAATAAGAAGAGACAGGTGTGTTCACCAAGAAACTGTCATGGGAATTTGTGCCCAAAGGTGGATGGATCAGGTAAAGAGAGCCCATGAGAACTAGAAAAGGAACAGAGACAATAAGATGAGAAAGGAGACACTTTTGTATTTGGCTATGCAGAATAGGTGGCCTTGAGCAGATGTCTGGTGTAGAAATCCAAAACCGACACGATTAACAAAACAAAAGACAAAGACTGATAGATGTCATTAGCAGTCATTTCCAGTGTGCTTAAATAGAGAGATAGATTTAAAGTCTCCCAAGAGACCAAAGAATTGTACAGTAAGTAACTTTTTCCTTTGGCCTCTGTTTTTATTTTGAAGAAGAAAATAGATTCCTTATAACTCATGTGTGTTGGTATTTGTTTTTATGTTAATGATGAATAACAAATGAATTTAATGGGTTTTTGAAATTTAAAAACTAGTTTTTAGTTTGGAAAAATCTTCCATTTTAAGTATAGAAAGCAAATTTGTAACACTTATTAGGGAGATATAAACCTGTTCAAAGTTAAAAATCATATCTTCTCTATTGTTCTTGTTTTCTATATATATATTTATATATATATATGTATTATATCCATCATAAGTATATGATGGATGTGGTCACCATTATGTTTTCATAGCTTGAAACATTTCCCAGTACATAGAGAACAATGAATATGTATGTATGAATTAATTTGTGACTTTTCTTTGCACATAATGCCCATCCTTTGAACCTTAAAGTTGTTTTTCACACATTAAAAAAAAAAAGGCAAATCCGAAATTGAGAATTCGAATCTCATGGAATGTTGTAAGGATCATAAGTCAAATATAAGATGGTTAAAGTGAAATAAACCAGAAAGAGAAAGACAAATACTGATGGCTTCATTTATATGTTGAATATAGAGAAACAAAACAATTGGTTAGACAAAATCAAAACAATAACAAACCCCAAAAAGCTAACTGTGGAACTGAGGCAGGAAGAAAGGTAGAGAGCAAACTGTGGAGAGGATGCCGGGAAGGCAACAGTGGAAGACCACAGGTGCCTTGTGCCTTGTGGTGGGTTTGGTGTGGTAACATACATTTTAAGATACATTGTTATCTTATATTATGTTGTTAACCAAGGTTACTTTAATAAGAAAAGAAGAAAGTATAAAAGTAAATATGGAAGCATAAAAACCCTTTAGATGTATTGTATTGTCCAGCAATCATGCTTCTTGGCGTTTGTCCAAAGGAGGTGAAAACTTAGATCCACTTAAAAAACCAGCACTAAATTGTTTATAGCAAGTGTGTTCATACAGGAAAACTTGAAACAATTAAGATGTCCTTCAGTAATGTAAGCAAGCTATTGTTATCCTGAAAATGGACTATTACTTATTTCTTTTTTATTACTAAATAGTACTCCTTTGAATTGATAACCACATTTTTATTATCAGGTAATACTCATTTAATTTGTCTTTATATTTTAAATTATAAATAATGCTTGTTTGAGTATTAGTAAAGACTTTATTTTTGTGGGAGCAGATATTTTCAGATTTTTGGGACCACAGTAAGTATTTGTGTAGATGTATTTTAATCTCTTATGTCTGATTGCTGGATTATATGGTGATTATATCTTCAACTGTTTGATTCAAGGCAAAGTTAATGTACCATTTTACATTGCCTGGAGCAATTTATGAGAGTTCTAACTTTTTCCAGATGTTATTAACTGACTTTGATAGTAGCTCTTTTATTGATTTTCAGGAGTAGTAGTTGATAATAGCATTAATTTGCATTTTCCTGTTATTTAGGGAAATCTATTCATGTGCTATTTACCATTTGTGTATCTTCTTTGTCAGATTTTCATATTGAGTTTTTTATCCGTTGTTCAGTTATAATAGTTCTGTTTTTATTCTAGTCATTTATTAGAAATGTTTTATAACACCCTCTATTCTTTTGGTTCTCTTTATTTTTCATGGTTGTGTTGACCAAGATGAAGTCCGTCGATCTACATTTTCTTTATCACTTTTATTTTTTGTGTTATGGCTAAGAAAGCACCTTGTAATTTAAAAGTATGAAGATTTAATACTGCTTTTGCATCTTCATTTAAGTCTTTGATAGATTTCAAATTAATTTTTGTATACAGTTTAAGGTAATTATTGTTCAGTTTCATTTTTTTGCTTGTATATATCTGCTTGCCCCATCACCATTTGTTGAAAAGACTATTCTTTCCCCATTAAACTTGTCTTGGCATCTTTGTTGAAAATCATTTGATCATACATGTAGACATTTTTTTTCCCCCCCAAAATTTCGGAAATCTTTTGAGTTTTGCTTGCCAGGAAAAATAAGGCAAACTGTTACAGAGAGAAATTAAAGCTTTTGTTTTTCAGAATGAGTTCAGGTCACATCCCCATTAGGACAAATATTCTGGGAGGATGCCATTTAAAATTGCATCAATCTCCTGTGCCTTTTTTAATGACTTCGTCAGTACTGGAACAGTCTGAATTTAGTGTGTTTTTGTTGGATCTACCCATACTTAAATTTGGAAACATGATTTTTAAAATGCTCAGTTCTCTTTTACTTTGTTCACAAACATTTTCATGATAGGCTTAGTCTTGGTATTTCGGAAGTTCAAGTTTTGTTTTCTTCACTTGTTTTCAATGTTTAGCTGGAGGCAATGGTTAATTTTTAAAGGAGTCATGCTGATAAAGTTGTGATAGTGCTGAGTGGATGATGTTCTGCTGATCCTAACTATAATTTTTTTTTTTTTGGGAAACCAGAAAAACACTTTGTTTTCATTCCATTACACTGTTAATTCTTGAGTTCCACTGAGCTATTAAAAACATCGACTCTAAAATGAAATTTGTAAAGTACGTATTCCCTTTTTATCTTGTATTATTTGAAAAGGAGATTAGACTTATTCAGACATTATGATGAAGTGAAAATTAGCTGTATTTGATATAATTGCAAAATTCACAGGTATCTCTGTTTTATTTAGTTCTTTTTTTATTACATTTTTACAGGGGAGAACATTTCTTAGAAGCCATATTTAAACTTCAAGTCTGACAATTTCTGTGAAATGTGTATGTGTATACATACATACATACACATACTTATCTATCATATACATTTCAAACAAATAAAATTAGTTTGTGCAGTGGGAGTGTAATTATGAAATATGTTTTATACATACATAATGTATAATATTTCTTAGCATGTTGTAGGTCTTTGTACTGTTTGTGTCCATAAAATATGTTCAAAATATGCATTCAGTAACATAGACCCTTAAATAAAAACTTTTTTTCATATTGTGTAAGAAAATATGAAAACTCATTTTTTATTAATATGAAATAAGGACCTTTGCATGGGGTCACTATCATCATCTTTAAAAATGAAAATATAGTATATTTGACACTTAAAGGAGCTGAACTGAAAATTATATAACGGAATATATATGTGTGTGTGTATACTACATAATAATAATTCCTAAGTAATAAACTACTGTGCTTGAATACAGCATAATCAACATTTCACAATTTCCCATTGCTACTCAGTTTTCTCAATATGGGAAACATTTAATATATACATTAGAAATAATTTTATTAGAATTGCCTTTAAAAGATCTATTGAGCATACCTTTGAGTATTTCAACATATTTTCTTATGTAAATATGCTTTGATAATCTAGGTGTATTTGTTATTTTTTTCAAAAGTATTAAGTTATATTCACATATTCTAGTCAGTGGAGTTTTATCTGTGAATAATACAAAATCCTTGAGCTTAAATCTCTAAAGTGGGAGACACATGTTAAATAAACAAATGGGTTTCATATAATTTTGTTGTATTTTTTGCATGGAAAAAGAGGGTTATTATTATCAAATATGATCTTTTTCTTTAAAAAAAATATGTATACAAATGGGGGTAAAGGCCAGAGGTGCAGGGGCTGTGAGAAAATTCTCCAGAGACAGAGTGGGGAGCAGAACAGGCAGATTCGTGAAGTACACTGCCGAGGGGAGCAGCAGGTGAGACAGGAGAGGTCTGTCACACCATGTGGGTCACCTCCCTGGTCAGGGATCAAATTCATGCTGAAGTGGCAACAGCTAGCTTGGTAGTGTTGTGCTTTAACATGTTGTGCCACCTGGGAGGGCCATTCCCTGTCTTTTGAATATATAAATTTGGATGACAAATTGAGAACTATGGAATATGTCAACTCAGTTTGATATTCTAATAAACATTTCTCAAAAAAAATTTTTTTTGTTAAAGTATTGACCAGATACTTGTGGAATGATACACTATGAGAATTCCTTTGACTAGTTTTTTTTGTATTTTGCAGTTACTTTGCAGTTTGCTTTCTATAGTCCCTTTCAAGTAGTATTGTGATGTCATGGGATATTATTTTGTATATTTGACAAATGACTGGGGACTGTACATGATCTTAGTTTGGAGATATTATTGGAATAGCCAGGAGGAAAGGCGTGCCCTTCTGCTATGATATACATCACCTACCTGACTGAATTTTGTCGTATCTTGGTTAAAATTTAGTTAGATGGCACTGACCTTTCCATGCATGGGTGATGTCTATTTTCAGGAATAGATGATGCATTCTTGTTGAAAGGAGAGAACTTCAAAGTAATTCTTCTTCTAGCCTCTTATTTTCTTGGGATGAAAGCAAGAATATGAAAAGGAATGCTTAATGAAAATGTATAGGATTATGTAATTTTTTTTCAGCGTCTTTTATGTACCCTTTGTGCATAATTTCTCATGGGCCCACACACCCCAATCTAAATTTTGTCTCTCCTTCCGACCCCCTGAATATTTTCATTTCCTTTTAAGTGTATGTTTTCTCCTTTTGTCCCTCCCCCCCCTTTGTTTTTTTTTTTTTTTAAAAGATTTACTTATTCATGCATACAAGAACTGGGTTTAGGCCATAGGTGCAGGGGGCAGGAAGAGAGGATTCACCAGAGACAGAAATGGGAAACAGAACAGGCAGATGTAATGAAATACATTACTGAGGAGAACTACAGGTGATATAGGAGAGGTAAGCTTTGCAGTGTGGGTTAGCTCCCTGTCCTGGGGTCAAACTTGTGCTTCAGTGACTGATGATAGCTTGATAACACTGTGTCTTTAACCCCTGTGCCACAGGGAGGCCCCCTCTTTTGCTTTTAATTCCTCAACCTTTCTTGTTCCTCTCTCAGTATTCATGTTTGACTTATGAACTTGTAGACTTATGACCTTTAAATGTCTCCTTTTCACCATTCTTTCTTATTATAGGAATAGCTGTATAAAATGCCTAAATCTTGCTAAAAGTTATTGCCTGCCCAGATTTGCTTTTTAGTGAAACAGTGTCAAAATCAAAAGGAAACTATTAGAGGAGGGAAAGATTTAATAGTATTTTGTGCAATACTTGACAAATTAAAAACACTACATTGTTATGTTATGAAAATATATGCCCCACCATAAAAATTACTAAAAGTTTTTTTGATTTTTTCCATTTGAATATTTCCAGGCTGCTATCCTTGTCCAGGGCCAAACATGAATCCTATTGCTCTTGGGAGTCGTTGGCTTGCTTATGCAGAAAACAAGGTAAGACATTTTGGGATTAATTTAAATAGAGCACTGCTCTAAGTGTTGCAAAAGTATATCTAGAATAGTAGTTTGCTTTAGTTTTGGTTTATTCTGGATTTTTATTGTGTAGCCAGTAGTCTTCATATCTCCATTCATCTTAAGATCAATGTTTAGAGTAACATCTGTAAGTGGAAATGCTCTTTGACTTACATTTTCACAAAGAGAACATCTGTCTTCTTTAAGTTTTTTTTTTTTTTTTTTAAAGATTTATTTGCGCATACAGAACGGGTACAGGCCAGAGGCTCAGGGGCGGTGAGAGGCTTCACCAGAGAGAGAGTGGGGAGCAGAACAGGCCGACTGACGAAGTACACTGCTGAGGGGAGCAGCGGGCGGGTCAGGAGAGGTCTGCCGCGCCATGTGGTCACATCCGGGGCAGGCGGGGATCGAACTCATGCGGAAGTGGCTTTAGCTTCTTAGTGCTGTGCTTTAACCCGCTGCACCACCAGGGAGGGCCTAAGTTTGTTTTTTAATAAATCTTTTAAAATGTATTTTTATCTCACAGGACTTACAAGAATAATGTAGTATAGACAACACAAAGAATCCCCATGGGCTTTTATTTAGATGAACTATGAACCATTTTAGAGTTAAGTTGTAACTGTCACTGACCCTAAACACTTAACACCCATACATTATCTAATTTATCACCTGTATCCAATATTCCAATTTAGTGACTAAATCCTTTTTTGTCATTTGATTATACCCTCTCTCCTTCTCCTTCCCCACTATCTGTGCAGGATCCAGTCTGGGATAACGCATTAACATTTTGTTGGCTTTTATCTTTGCATTTTTCCCATGCACTACTTTACATAGTTTTTCTTCATCTTTTATATCATCAATTATTTTGAAGAATACAGTTCTTAAATCTATAGCCTATTGATTTTTTTTTGGTTCATTCTCTTTATTTTACATATATACATATTTTTAATAATATAATAGTTTATTTCTACATCATTTTGTGCCTTTTTCTATCTCAGTTGTAATCCCTGTGGGCTTCCCATCAAAAAAAAACAACTTACATAATTTTAGAAAAGTTATTTTTTATGCATACAGAACTGGGGTACAGGTCAGAAGGTTCAGAGGCAGTGAGAGGATTCACCAGAGACAGAGTAGGTAGAAGAATAGGCAGATCTACAAAGTACACTGCTGAGGGGAGCAGTGGGCCAATCAGGAGAGGTCTGCCACGCCATGTGGGCCACCTCCTGGGCCAGGGATCGAACTTGCACTGAAGCAGCTGCGGCTAGCTTCTAGGGCTCTGTCCAGCTTCCAGGGGTCCGTCCAGCTTCCAGGGCTCCCTCCTAACCCAATGGGCCACCAGGGAGGGCCAAAAAACAGATTTTTATATTGAGTTTTTTGTATCTTTTCTTATGTTATATATTTTTGGGCCAAATGCTACTTGAGTATTGCTCTTTCTCACAGTTTCACACCTAGAGGCACATGATACTCTTTCTACTATTTTGATGTTGCTACTTTTCTCAAGATCCAGCCCAGTTTCTGTACTGCACAGTTATATACATTTTCCTCTTGTAAATATGTAAGTTGGAGATAGCATACATATATCCCACTTTTCATCAACATTTTATCTTATTTTTTAAGACTTTAAAAAAGATGTATTTATTTATGCATACAGAACTGGGGTGTAGTCCAGAGGTGGTGAGAGGATTCACCAGAAACAGAGTCGGGAACAGAACAGGCAGATGGATGAAGTACACTGCTGAGGGGAGCAGCAGGTGGGTCAGGAGATTTTGCAGAGCCATGTGGTCACCTCCGGAGCTGGTGATCAAACTTGAACTGAAGCGGCTGCCGCTCCTTGCAGTGCTGAGCTTTAACCTGTTGAGCCACCAGAGAGGGCCCATTTTATCTTAATTTTAACATGAATCTTGAATCTTTACTTATTGTGAGTATTGAATTAATTAATATAATGACTTTCTAACTTTACCCTTCACATTTGCCTGTAGGTACTTGACTTTCTAATGTAATCAGTAACTTTCCTTCTCTTTCTATGTTTACATATGTAATATGGACTCATTGATGACTATTTTTTTATGGACTTTTAATTTTAAATCATTTCTTAGTAACTCACCATAGTCCTTTGTGCTCTTCCCTCCCCTCTTTAGCTCCCTCAGCCTTCCCTGCTGTATACTTCAGATCTAGAGAGCAAACTATTTTTTTAGTAGCTGACAGTATGTACTGGTTCATCTTAGACATTCTCTGCCTCAGTCTTGGAATGTGCTCCTTTTGATCCTTCTTGTTCCTTTTATGGTTGTTGATGGTATATAATACTAAGCTTTATTGATTATGTATGCTTGCTGTTACCTGGGGTGTTTCTCCTTCTATAACATTTCACTTGACAGTGTTTTGAAACATGAAAATTACACACACACACACACACACACACAGACTTCTGTTTAAATACATATATGTGTATATACACATGCACTTATAAATAAACATGTGTAGATGTTTGCATACCTATATATGGAAATCAAAATCTTCCATTAGTACTTCCATAGAATGCATTCATTTAATCCTTCTTTTCCTACTTAAGGATCCCTGTTTTGCACAGATCCTGATTTTAGTATATTTATTTCATTTTCAATTTTGTTACACAAAATGTAACTGTAGAATTGTTTGTTCATACCAGTGCAAAAACCAGGTTCGATTAACGAGTTCAGGATTTTCTTACAGTTCTCTCCATAAATGTTTTTGTCTAAAACTGAACATATGTTGTCTAGCACTGTTTTTTTTTTTTTTGTCTTTCATGACTTCCCCTTATTTCATTGTTATAAGTTTTCATCTGATACATAATTGTGTAGGTTTGTTTTATATTTGTTATATATACATATATCTATATGCTTATGTATTTCAATATTTGTTGCATATTAATTTCCCTTTCTTTCCCAAAAGATACATGTATTCTTTCACTAATAGAGTTTTTTTAGATCATGCCATTTAGTGATTTGCTCTACAGAAATTTTCTGATAGTTTAAAAATAAACTTTAATGGATGCTTTATCAGATAACTTGAATGTTAAATTTATAAGCTTTTTTCAAATCCAAAATAGTTGCCTGAAATTTGTTATTTTTTATTTTAGTCCATGTTTGCTTTTATTGTACATTTAGTTTCATAAATCTTTGGCACAATGTTTTATGAGCATTCAGACTATTGAGATATACAGTTAAACATTATTATTAGATGAAAAGGTGGGAGCTCTGACTTTACATCAGTATTTTCCCAGAACATAAAAATATTGAAAGCTTCATGAGTTTGCATGTCATCCTTGTTCAGGGGCATGCTATCTTTGTATTGTTCCAATTTTTAGAATATTTTTAGAATATGCCAAAATGAGCACTGATTTATCTTTAATTTTGAGGAAGTGAGATTAATGTAATTTTCTAGTGATTTTGAGTTTTAAGAACAGTTTATGGCTTAGTTACTTTTTTTTTAACAGCGCTGTAATTGTAATAGCACTTTAGTTTCAGGTATCCAACATGATTCAGTGTTTGTATATCAGATGTGTACATATATGTTATCATTTATGTGGCAATGATAATTCAGTTTTAGTTGAATTGAAAGGTGATAGTGTTGCTTAGTTTCACATATTTACCCTTTTTTAAAAATTACTTGGTAGTATTCCTTGGTAATAATACCTTGGTAGTATTTTCAAGACAGTGCCTTTCCTTGCACATGTGGAAGGAAGAAACAAAGGGTTAATTCTTTTGGTGCATATTTGTAAATTAATGAATGAATAATTGAGAGTTTCTTTTTATTTGTCTGAATTATTACTTTTCAGACTCCCTATGTCCACTGTGTGAAACTACATCTGCCAGTTGCTTGTCATTTGCAAAATTCCTTACCAGTTAACTTGAACTTTACTTAAGCTGTCATTCAGTGTAGCAGTTTGACATCTTACAGCTGATGTTAAAAGATATATTACATTCTATTATAGTAGACTAATATTGCTTGAAGGGTCGTTTTTGAATACATTAGTAAATTTTCATTTTAGAACAAAAGGATATCAATTTTAATTAGATGACATTTACATTAAATTTAGTGTTTTATAAAAAGTTTTATAAGAGTTGCTTTCTTCTTAATTCCATAGTCTTCTTATGATGCACCTGTTCTAGTACTCTAATATCGTTATTTTATTTAAAATGTATTTTAATGTCAACATATGACTAATATTTTTATTTAGCTACATTCTGGTAATGTGGTAGCAGTGGAGAATTTCGTTCTGGTTTACTGCTTAGCACATTATTGTGTGTCAACTATTGATTCACTTTGAAAACTGGCAAGTTGATATATTTATCCAGCCATGAATAAGAACATATTTTTTTCATTCTAATGGTAAATCTAGGAAAGTCCTCTGAAGTGGACAGTTGCTATTTGTGTCATAGTTGATTTATGCATAATTTATGCCACTTTTCCACTGATGAGATCAGAAATGGAAATGTAACAAATTCTTTTGTCTTTTAAAAATGTCTTTTAACAGTTTTCATGGGAGAATTAAGATGATAAAACCTCCAATTTGCTAACATGTTAAAAATTTAATGTTAGGAAATCACTAAGTCCTTTGATTATATCTCATATTTATTTGTGAAACAGCTGCCAGATCCCAAATCCTACTACTTCAGAGTTTATGAATTTTTAAAGTCTTCTCATCTTATAATTAAAAATGGTATTTGAGCATGAAATTGACTGAAAGGCACCATTTGATTATAAAAAGGGGTAAATGTGTCTCAGCAGGGCTTTTAGCTGTTTGTCTGAAGTACACTCATGCAAACATTCCCACATTCCCACCCGCTACCATCATTATGCATGGTAAATAAGCTCTGTCCTAATAGCCTACAGAGTTAAACAGTTTAACAGAAATGACTCTGGTTTCTCTCTCTTTTTTCCAGTTGATTCGATGTCATCAGTCCCGTGGTGGAGCCTGTGGAGACAACATTCAATCTTATACTGCCACAGTCATTAGTGCTGCTAAAGTGAGTATCTCAGAAGTTGTGATTATCCGGAGTAACGATCAAGTTTTTCTCCTGATTTGTATTAAGATTTTTTCCCTTCATTTTCATTCACAAATGTGAAATAAACTTAAGAAGGATGTCAGAATTGTTTTGTTACTCATGAGAATTGGGGACTAGTTCAGGTTTTAGTCTCATAAATAATACATTATTTTTCATTTATAATTATTATATTTGATGGTTTTTATCCAGTTTAAATATTTAAGGCTGTTAGGTAGATAAAAGTGTTATTTAATTAATACCACTTTTGAAAGAATTTTTACTTGCTTGAAGAAATGACTTCTGGAATCTTATGTGATTTGTGGCATTCTGCCTACGCCCACACCCCTCTGCATCTCTGAACATTTACGAATTTTCCTGACATGAAAACAGTATCCCTGAAGAAACTTGAACCCCCTGGCACATTTCAAGATCCTTTAATGTCACAGGGCTGCTCCTGCATATTAGTCAAGTGACTTCTTTTTGTTTGTGTTTGGGGTTTAATTTTGATGCTGTCTCACAAACTTTATGCTGATTATAAGGTATTCGTATAATCACTGTCCTTTTGAATTGTGAAGTATACAACAAAACAATTCCAATAATAGGGATGACATAGTGAATCTGAATGACAGCATGTAATAGAAAGCACAACTATGTAAAAAAGAACAACAGTTTAAAGTTAACCACAGGGAGGGACTCAAAGGTCACACTGTTTTATGTAAAGCAAATATAGAAATACTTAAAGATTGATCACAAACACTTAGAAGATAAGTGTTTGCTTTGATGTGAAAAAATTACAGATTTGCTTTGATGTGAAAAAATTACAGATTTTTTATTCAAAAGGGAGTCTAAAATATTTTGAAAAGATTACTATATATTTTCATTTCCAGAATCTTCATAAAAATTATTTATGTTTTTTGCACGGTATATGCAAAATCTAAGGTAGTTGTTTGAAAGAAGAGAAACTTGAGATAGGTAATTAAGCAACATAACTGTTATTCAGTGAGTTATAATAGATCCATAGACTATGCCAATGAGATATGGTTCTCAAGTATTAGATTTTTTATTTTTATTTACCTGTGTTAGACACTTTCAACAGGACATCTCATTTTTATCATTCTCATTAATTGTAAGTTATGGAGTAGAGGTGAAATCCCAGCTATTCCTTACTATAACTGTGTTGCTAGTTTGTCTAACTAAAATGAAAGTGATCTGTTTCATGCAGTAACTGTTTAACTGTTAGCTAAAATTGGACATGCTACAATGAGTTTATACTAAACATACTTTGGAAAGAACAACTTTTATGCCCTATTATTCTACACCCCTCTGTTGTGAGCTCTGTGAAATAACTCATGTTTTTCTCATTTAAATGACTAAGAAATTGCTTTGAAGACACCACCTTAATCCAGTCAGTTTCTGATAGATACAGGTCACCAGTGGCATTAGTATTGATTAAAATTCATTGTTATCTCTGGCACCAGGTACAGTTCTACCATTAGTACTTGAATGAAGTGATTAGTATTTAATTTTTTCTCTTTGTCTGATGTTAATGCTGATTTGTGTTCTTCTTGTAAATTTATAGTAAAAGTCATCTTCTTTTTTTGGATAGTTTTGACATGTTCCATGAAATTATATATTGTCCCCTCACTCAGTTTACACTTACTTGTGAGGTATTTTTAATTCTTCTATTTATACAATGTTTATTTGTGTGTTATGGGACTCCTAAGAGCATGAATACTTTGAGATTTCCTTTAGTGCACTGTCAAGTTATTTTCCTAATATCCTACTAGAAGGCCATTTTATGGAAATGTAGATAGGAAATTTCAGAGAATTGGGATTATTTTCCTCCACTGAATTTGTTTTTTCTCCTGCTATATCCAGAACCTTTTTTGGCAAATTAGTATTTTGAGATATAAAAGAATTCCAGTTAGCACAGCAAAATGACTGAAAACTATGTAGTACAATTTGAAATATGTTGTTTGATCATTGGCAGCACTACACTGTGCATTATATGCATTTAATATTAGTGTATTTATAGGTAAAAATTCACCAATTGTACATTTACTATTCCTACACTTTTCTGTGTAAAAATATGTAACAGTTTACTAAGAAAAAAGTCTCACAGTGACAATACAGTGGTGATGCTCTCTGATAAATGTAACTTTAATATTAAATTCCTCAAATTGGATTATTTTGTTACATTTCTAAAATCTTGGTCCGTATTTTCTATATATCCTATTAACTGTCCCATTTGATTTTCCCCTTTAATATGTCTTCACCCTACTGTGGTAAATTGATTTAATAAAAATCCCTTGTTTCCTTGTGTTATCTGATAACTTCTTAATGACAACTAACAGCTTTTGTGAGAGCAGCACCATTAGCACTAATGGGTAGGGAGGACAACTGATAGGGCCTGAGAAAGGTTAAAGATGACTAGGGACCCTTTGGAAAATCTGTCTGTAACCAAACAGAATAAGTACCGTGGTCATCTGACATGTTGGTTGTGGTGGGTTCTCTCAAACCTTTCTCTTAGAGTTTAGTTCAGTGAATGCTGGTGTAAAGATTAATTGGGAATGAATTTATATATTTAAATACCTCAGGTTGTAAGCAATGGTCCGCTTTCATAAGTGTTTAGCCAAATTAGATTTTTTAAATCTCTAATTTTTGCTTAATTTTCATTTCTTTTAGGATGTATTTGAGAAAATCATTAAGTAATCTATATTCCCTTTGTACAAAAATATTGTGAAAAGACTAATTACTCTGAGATATCTGAAGATTTTATGTGAAAATATTAAATAGCTCTTAATAATTCTGAACTCTGGTATTCATTGATGTGTTGAATTTTCAAGTATGAACAAAAATTTCCCTTAGAAATTTGTTGATACAGAAAACGTTCCACCGTCCTCCTTGCCCCCTGCATTAGACCTTATTTTCAAAGTTAATTAGCAGTAATAGATGTTATTGTCTTGCACTTTACAAAGTGCACCTTTGATTAATATTACATTTTGGGTTTACATCTTTTCTCAATAATAGATGACTCCACTAATATTCATAAGTTTTTTTCTGAGAAATATCAATAACTTTCTGTCATATGAGACTTTGAATATGAAATACACTTACTCATCTCCTTCTACACCTTTCCTCCAACCACAGTTTTTTTTTTTTTTCCTTATATTAACTTTTTCCTGTATCTTGTGTTCTGCTTTGGTACATTGCTTCCTACTTTCTGAGTGCCCCTTGTTTGATTTCTATTCATTAGTATAAAAGCATGAAGCTGCTCAAGGGCAAATTGGGGGGAAAGGGGGGGTTGTACAACCAGAGACTTTAAACATGAAAGGCATTGGTTTGATAAAGGGATAGTTCCTTTAAGTGGGAGCATGTCCATTAACATTAATGGAGTAAGTACATCAGCTGAGGCATCTCAGAGGTTAATCAGACTTCCTGGCCAGCTTTTGACATCAATACACTGTGGCGCCTGATTTTGTTGGTCCTTCATAGGCTTTCTTGACAACACTCTAACGAACTTTGTGTAAGTCTTTTCTTGTGAATTATTGAAACAAATGTTTTTGCAGCTAATTGAGGAACACTAATGTGTTTTATAATCACTGCAGTTTGAGTTTTTAGTACTAAACAAAACAGTTATAATTGATTGTGGCTTTTTCTTGGATTCAGTAGGCTGTAAGTTATGTCTTTTTGCATGAATTCTTCAAATGGCCTTGCTGGTCATTCATTTAAGTATTTATTAGGATGCATTATTAAAGTTTTCCTTCTTTTCCCCCTACAGTACGTTCTGAACTCATGAAGTGTGAGATCACATGTAGTAATATGATTAGCTCAGAAGTCTATACTGAAATGAGACAGACACTCCCAGTTTTGAATTCTGGACCTGTCATTGGGTAGCAGTTTGAGCTGCTGTTTTACTTATTATTGGTGTTATACACTGTGTTTATGAAAAACTACTTTGGAAAGTACTTTTCCTTTTAAAAATTCCTTTGTTACTGAAATCACACTTAGGCCTTAGAAACAGCTTTCTTTTTCTACCATTTGTAAATGATTACTTTACGTATCATGTATATAAGAATATATATTTTATAAGTCAGGTATAGTGTACAACACATTATAGATGACTATTTTTTATTATTATTTTAGATCTAGTCACCGTAGTAAGACTAATTTGAAGTATCTTAATAAAAAATTTCCTTACAACATGAGAACTGCAAAAAAGCATTTTTCCGAATGTGTGTCTGTTATGTCATATAAAATATTTGGTATCTCCACGTAATCTAGACTTATTTTGATGCCATTAACTTTTCTTCTACATTTATGAGCCAAATAAAACAAGACAAAAACCACTGCGACTTTAGCAATGGTTGCTAATGCAGATAAGAATAATCAGATAATGAGATTTGCATAAAGGAAAAAAAATACATGGGTTAGTTTTATGTTTCCTTTGACTGAAATAAGACTAAGACATCTTACATTGTCTTTAATTGAAATAGTATTTTAGAAGCATTGCATTTGTTTTGTCAGTTAAAAGAACCCTCCTAGCTTTAGTGTCACAGATGGAGACGATTGTCCATATGCCAAATCTTGGTAAACAGTATTATATAGCTTCACATTATAGGTAGTACTGGAAGTATACTCTTTTACACATAGTGATTCAGTCAGTCTGTTTCCACAAAAAAATAGTTCTTAAATTAGAGTTGTAATATTTGAAATAAATCACATATTTCCTATTTCTTACCAGTTCACATATTTTATGATATATCCATTAACAAGTGGCTAGGAAAAATATCTTGTGTAAAAATGTAACTATACCCTATGTGAAACCAAGCTCTTTAGTTATTACCTACGACTTTATTCCTAACATGCAGATTTTGGGTACTATGCTGTTATCGTTCTCTCAGAATACTAATTTCTAAGTAAAATTTAAGATCAGGCAAAATTTCTGTGACAGTTCCCTACTCTGTAGACTTGTAAGAAGATAAAGAAAAATGATAGGGTGTATATCTTTGCGTAAAGCCACATTTTACCTTTCTCTTATAGACATTGAAAACTGGCCTGACAATGGTTGGGAAAGTGGTGACTCAGTTGACAGGCACGCTACCCTCAGGTATGACAGAAGATGATGTTGCTGTCCACAGTAATTCAAGGCGGAGTCCTTTGGTCCCAGGCATCATCACAGTTATTGATACTGAAACAGTTGGAGAAGGCCAGGTAAGAACTTGGTGTTCACATAATGTGCATTTTCTACATAGGCTGGCTTAACTGCAATTGGTATTGAGTCGTTTCTTATGAAAACTTACATATTTAGATAAAAAAGATAAATTAATAAAAGATATGTGCAGAAACAGCAGGAGTCATTATAAAGGTAGAAGAATACATAGAGTTTGCACTTAAACCTTCTGGTAAGAAATCATCAGGTTTGCTCCCCATTAAGCATTCAGAAATACAATTTTCTTTTGTATTTTAGCCTTCAGTTTTTACATATTTAAATTTCACTTAAAAATTTTAAGAGTTTGTGATAATTGCTATTGAAATGTAGTCTAAAAGTGAATACTCAGATGGTAGAGATACAGAGTGTATATTTGTTTTCAGGATTAATGGTTAGAAACCATGTACGAGCCAATAAATGCTTTTTGTTGTTGTTGTTGTTGTTGTTGTTTTTAAAGATCTATTTATTTAAGCACACACAGAGCTGGGGTACAGTCCAGAGGTGCAGGGGCAGTGAGAGGATTCACCAGACACAGAGTGGGGAGCAGAACAGGCAGATTGACGAAGTACACTGCTGAGGGAAGCAGTGGGTGGGTCAGGAGAGGTCTGCCACGCCATGTGGGTCAGCTCCCAGGCGGGGATCTAACTCTTGCGGAAGTGGCTTTAGCTTCTCAGTGTTGTACTTTAACCCCCTGAGCCACTAGGGAGAGCCTGCTTTTGTTTTGAGAAAAATTTGCTCTAGTTAACGTGTGTCTACATCTTGATGAAAGATTGCATTTGACCATATTCATGTACTTATTCCTACAATATTGTGGTCACATGGTCGCTCAAAAATTATGTGGCCTTTTTATAAGAAAAGCCAGAAATATTATTGAAATCAATGATATCAAATTTATTTAATTTGTAGTTGTGTTTTTTCTGAAACCTGAATACTAATACTGCTTGCTTTAATTTTGTTAACCAGATATGTTATAGGTTTGAGTTTTTATTTAAAACTCTTTTAATAAAGTGTCAGCATATTTTTTGGTTGACTGTAAGTACTTGTCCTCCACAAAATTGATAAATGTCTTCTGACCTCTTGAATCAAGTAAAGATGATTACTAGGTAGTAAGAACCATAGAAATTAGCTTTAAAGCTAAAAAGTTTAAGTTGCTTTCCAACATGAAAAATTTTATTTTGTATTGTTTCTTGGGAGCATAATCTCTTTTCCTTTCCATTTGTAAAATATTGTAGAATTTTAACTTAATTTAAAAATTCTTTTATATAAAGGAAACAAATTGACAGTCAACAAATTGAAAGGGTTATGAATATTTTTGAAGTAACAAGATTTCCTTGGTATAATACTGCCCTTTTTTTTTAATTAACGTGAATCTGTTTTTTGTCAAGAAGACATATTTGTCTCCAATAAATAGTTCAGTTGGGCTACAGGACCATTTTTAGGTTATGCTGGGTTGTATTAACAAGACTACAATGGTTAATGTCATGGGTATATCACTTTTAGCAGTCTTCCACTGATATTTGACCTGACCTCTAATTTTTTCCCTTTTATATATACACCTAATGAACTAAAGCTGACATGAGTTTCACTTTGCAGTTCTAGTTCATTGAGACTTTAATAAAAATATTTTCGTGATTACAGTTGTGGTATGTAAAATTTGGCCATCTTTCTGATGTTGATTTGTTTGATTTTGTAGTGATGGGAATGTTGTATGGTAATTGTATTAAGGAAGAATGGATTTGATTGAGTGCCCATTTTTATCTGTGTTTCTTTCATGTTTCATTTAAAGGCATTTTGTGACTGGTATAAGTTAAGTGGTTTAATTTGACTTCACACATTTATAAGACAGAAGTTAGTAATGTGGCAAATTTCTGATCAAAGCAGTATGTTCCACAATGATGTAAACTTGAGGTATTTCTTGCCTGAGAAGGTGTTCTTTCTAGTAATAATATGAGACCTTTTTTTTAATATGATGAAGTCAATCAACTGTCCTTCAATTGAAGTCTTTTGCCTTTTTTAAATCTAGTTGAGTGGTTACCACACATTTAGGGTTCAACCTGCTTAGGTTACTATCTCTAGGATTCATGATTTGATGTTTTTAAGCACAGAGATATTGCAATGTAGAAACTCTTTTAAAAAGTATCTGATTATTATATTTATGAAGTTCATAAGGAGAATATTCAAAGAATCCTATGTGGTGGTTTTAAGTTTTGCTATGTACCAAGATTAAAATGCTTTTTTTTTATTTGATGGCTTCTGTCTTTATTAGTACCATCAAATAGTTCACTCAATACTAATTATGTTAGGAGAAGTCTATGCTTATAATCTATAAAAGAAAAGGGGAAATTTTAAGAGTGAGTTTAATATAGAAAGATCTGCAAAGCCTAACTATTCACATAAAATTATATACAAATTTTCTAAAATTCATATTCATGACTTAATTTGTTTTAAGAAAAAGACTAATACCACTCTGTGAGCATTTATTCCCAAAACGAATGAGAGAACCTGGGACAAAAGTAAGACTGTCACTGTCACTATTTGCAGGTATCATGATGATACACATAAAAAACCCAAAAGTCATTAAAAAGCAATTAGAAACAATAAATCAATAAAGTGACAGGTTACAAAATCAGTGTATAAGAATCAACTGTATTCCCTAATGTATTACTGAACTGGAAGAGAAATATAGACAATTCTACCATTTATTATTATCAGAGTTTTAAATGCATAGGAATAAACTTAATGAAAGAAATAAAGGACCTGCCCAGTGTAACCTTTGGCATTTTGGAAAGAAGTGACAACACAAAGAAATGAAAAGATAGCCCCTGCTCCTGATTTGAGAGGATTAACATTGTTAAAATGGCCTTCTTACCCAAAGGAGTATACAGATTGCACTGCAATCCCTGTCAGAGATTCAATGGAGGTCTTCAAAGAAATAGAACCGACATTACTGAAATCTGTATAGAAACACAAAAGACTCAGAGCAGCCTAAGCAGTACTGACAAAACTTTTTTCTGAAGCTACACTTCTGTCACCTACAGTCAACTGTTTAGAGCTTATGGTTTGATCTGTTGTGGGACTAAATCCTTTCTAAAGTGGCATTTTCACTTTTTATGTATAAGAATATCGCCCAATATGGAGGAAGCATGTTATTTGATCACTCATATTTTTGTGTAGTTGTTTATCTTAACACTCAGTAATTGATGAGAAAATGGTAACTTCCATTTGCCTTCTTTGTTTTTTTAAAGGTTCTTGTGAGTGAGGATTCTGACAGTTGTGGTATCGTGGCTCACTTCCCTGCTCATGAGAAGCCAGTGTGCTGTATGGCCTTTAATACAAGTGGTATGTCTTTTTTGGGGGGGTGGGGAGAGAATCTGTTACATCATAAGTTATCCCTTGTGATGAAAGTTGTAGTGAAGAAGGTAATGGAAATAGTAAATATGGTATATGACTTACCTGTCAGACTATTTTAGAAGTGCATATAATTAGGTAAGTGATTAATTGAAGGAATATATATGTAAAAAAAAAAGTGAAATCCTTGCATTAGTGTTGACTCAATGAAGTGGTGATTGTATAGTAGCCGGAGGTAAACAGTGCTATGGAGTGACTTTAATTTCTGTATTACAATTAAGCCAGAATCTCAATATTCAAGACTATATATCTATTCCTGTGAAGTATATTTTCTTTACCAACTCTAGGCACATTATACTCTTGAGACCAGTTATCTTATCCAAAATGTGACAGTCATTTTTTCATAATAATAATAATAATTTATTATTTATTTCCTAAAGAAGTCATTAAATAAATCTAGGTGATTTTAAAAAAAAACCAATAGGATGGCTATGTAAGCCATTTCATTCTATGAGGAAACATTAGTTTGTCTTCTAATTTGTGATACTGTGTTTGATCATGTGGATAAATGAAATCATATTTATAAGTTACAGGTCGATTTTTTTTGTTGTTGAGATCAGTATATAAGTTGGAGTTTTATTTTGATGTTTTTGAATCAACTTTTTATTTATCAGTTTTGTTACACTGAAAGCTGCCAATTGGTGGTTTTCTAATTATCATTTTTTTCATTCATTAACTACTTTTCTATTAAAAATTTCCCCCCATTAGCCAAGGATGAATCTATAGTCCTGTATGTGAAGAGACTGAATTCTGAATTCATTTATTACCAGTCTTTATAGTAATTGGCTATGTCCACTGGTGGTACTCAACTTCATTTTGAACATACTTCATTTGTAAATAATAGGTAACTTTTCTCTTTTATTTTTAGAGCTGACATAGTCTTCATAAACTTAGACTCTGTCCCGTTATTTTCCCGATTGGTTCATGGGGTAGAAGAGTGTGCAATTTTTATCTTACTCTGCAAAACTGATTATGTTAGTTACAATTGATGAAAAGACCTATCTTTCCCCCCTTTATTTCATCTTTATAAATAAGGTATAATGGTAAGGTACTTTTAATAATCTTCTAGTATCTTAATTAGTCATTTTTGATAGATAGGAAGATATTTTATAGTGATTTCTAATCAGCAGGATGTACTTAATGAAGACAAAGATTTATTGAAATATGCTGACTGTTGTGAGAATTAAGTTAAATTTAAGGAAACAGTTTAGAAGTTATGTCCTTACAGCACTCTGCTTGGATTAAACTCTGTGATTCATTTTGATTGTCTGACTGTTAGGTCAAATCCCTTTTGTTCTAATGTATGTTTCATAGTATCATAGAGTGCTTCTGACTTTGGAAACATTTTTTTTTCAGTTTATAATTTCCATTATACTAAAAACACTGTATATAATGTAATGAATGTCATAGAGTCATCATTGTGAAAATCCAGCAAATAGTTTTGAAAAATCAAGTTTTCTATTCTTTAGTAATTTTGGTCTTTATTTGCCATTTATGGAACTCTCAACTTTGTATTTTTATGAAAAGTTTAACTTTTGTATGTCTATTTATTTTTGTTCTTAGCAAACTAGCTGTATATCTTAATGATATATGTTATCTTGGAATTCATTTCTTTAAATACTTGTTTTCCTCGCTAACTTCTGAGTTCATTTTTGCATTAAGATTAACTAAATCTTGTACAATCTTGGTGTTGTACATTTTGTGGGTTTTGACAAATATGTCCTGGCATGTATGTACCTTTACATCAATAATACTATACAGAATAGTTTCATTGCTCGAGAAATTCTCTATTCTACCTGTTCATTCCTTTCTCTCTCAACCTTTGAAACACCAATAGTGTTATTATTTATTCCATAGTTTTGTTTTTTACAGAATGTCACATAGTAAGAATTTTATAGTATGTAGCCATTTAAGAGATAACTGCACTTATTTTTATGGCTCATGCTTTGATAGGTTCTTTCTTTTTTCCAGTGAATAGTAATTCACTATATGTACATAGCATACTTTTTCCCCCACCTGTACATCTTCTTGTTTGAGGTATATGTGCATAATACACAGAATATATGCAATGTGTTTCACCATTCTTTAAGTTTCCCTTCACAAATAAAAATTTTTCTTACTTTTTTTTTAGTGAATTTAATTAGTTGATATTATATACAAAGCTATGAGTTTAAATGTTCCTTAATGGTGCTTATGATTTTTTTATTTAAATGGTTTTTATTTCAAAATATAACTTGTATACTTTTCATTTTTCCTTTTCATTTGTCGACGCATATTTAAATTTACTAACATTAATAAGTTTTAACTGTTGTGGCTTAGTAGTGATTCTTTATATTTGGCTAAAGGCTTTTACATGGGGTATGTAGTGTGGCCAGTAATAACATTAGTGTTTGTTAGAGTAATTTTACAAGTTCATTTAAGGGAAATAAAGAAAACTAAACATATTAAAAAGTTTATTGTGTTGTTTTTGTCTTAAGACTCGTTCTTTTCCTAACCAGTTTAATTGTATATATCCTTATATATGCAGTAATACAAATAAATTTTGTAGTCTTTTAATCTACAGAGATATATATGTAAATGTCATTATTACAATATTTAATATAACAGAATCCAACAATAAACCAGACTTGTACATCTCCTTAGAAATTTTAAAAATAACATAAAATATACACGGTAGCATAACACTGCATGTATTAAGAAGTAAAGGTAGGTTGTTTGACTGTATTCCATGTAGCTTGGTTTTTTTCAGATGAAGTAAATAAGGGATCCCTTTACATACAGTTGTGAAACTTTTAGGTCAGCAGCTGCATTCAGTTTGTTTCCCAATTTCTCCTTCCTATTCTTGTTTATTAGCTGTGACTCTGAGTCCAGAATTAAAATAAATATTTAATGGCAACATTCATGATTTGGTTTCATGTGCCAGAGAGGCTCCATGCTTAGATCTGAGTAGTTTCAATATGGGTGGCATAAGTTTGTTGCTTTCTAATTATACACAATGAGTAATATTTTCTAGGGAACTTTTTTTTTTAAATTAGTAAACTTTATTTTTTAGGGCTGTTTTAGAATTCTAACAAAAACTGAGTGAAAAGCATGGATAGCAGTCTTATCACTCAAAGTCAATAGTTTACTTTTTGTTTTATACCTTTTATGGACTTTACAAATGCATATTGACGTCGTGACATGATTGTGGTATCATGGAGAATAGTTTCTCTGCCCTCAATACTCAGCACTTCTCTGTCATTACATTAAATATACTTTCTGTCTTATTTTTTTCCTTTTCTGCTGGGATGCCTCATATTTGTGTATCTACTTCCCAAGGGTGTCCCACAGTTCTCAAAGAGTTTATTCATTTTTCTTTTTTTTTCATTCAAGTTAAATATTCTGTTGATTTTCTTGAGGCACTTTTTCTACATTCTTGTTAGAATTTGGCTTCACTATGTTTTATTTCATATTCCCTAGACATAGGTTACATATAAGAAATGTGATTTGGAAGTTGCCTAGTAAGCAGATTTTTTTTTTTTTTACTTTTATAATACTTCATTTTTACATATTTTTGTGTATTTTTCCATCGCAGTTGTAATCCCCTTGGGTTTCCCATCACCAAGTCACCTATGGGCCATCACCATAATCCAGTGCATTTCCCTCCCCCCACTGTTTTGATCCTATTCCCCATTCTACCCCCACAAAAATGTCCCTGGTATATATATATTCATCATTATCATTATTTTCTCGCCTGTTCCATTATATTCCTGCTATGAGAGAAACCACCCGATATTCTTCCTTTTCTTTCTGGCTTATTTCACTAAGCATGATCTTTTCCAGCTCCATCCATCCATGTTGCTGCAAAAGACATGTGTTTCTTTTTTTATGGTTGCTGAGTAATATTCCATTGTTTATGTATACCACATCTTTTTAATCCAGTCATCCATTTTTGGGCATTTGTACTGTTTCCTGTCTTTCCAATTGTGAGTAAAGCAGCATTAAACATGGGGGTGCAGGTATCTTTTTGAATGAGTTTTTTGTGTCTTTAGGGTAGATACCTAGGAGTGGGATTGCTGGGTCGTACAGAAGCTCCATGTTTAGCAGTG